CCTGGACTGTAAGAGGGCTGTCCGATTACCCATTTAGGCTCGATTACACCAGGATCAGGCCTAAATGGGCAGCTGGATATCCCTTGAGGGGTCCGATTGGAGAGGGTGCAGGCTGAACTGAGGGACAACCCCCCTCTATGCACAAATTTAATGCACCAGGCCTCTAATATCTATATAAAACCCTAATATGCAAATTGACTAAACAATGGAATGACCAGTAGCAATGATGCACCCTGACCACCAGGGGGCAGAAACTCTATGCAGGAGTTGCCTCCAGCCCACAGGCCCTGACTGGCAGTGGGGGGGAGGGGGGGGGCTGGCAAGTGGGCAGCACCAGTCAGCCAAGGTAGGTGTGTGTGTGGGGGGGGGTATGGGGGGGAGGAGGGGGGATGCGAACATGGCATAGAACCCTGTGGCAAAGAACATGGCAGGCATTGGTGACATGGTGCTGGCACCAGGTGGCAGTGGACACACTGCTGGCTCCAATGAGAGCAGGACCATGGCAGGATAATGGAGCAGGTAAGTAGGCAGCACCAGGCCAAGGCGGGTATAAGTGGGGCTCCAATCGCCCCACTGATCACTCCACAGATTGGTTCTGATCACCAGCCAGGCCTAGGAATCCTACCTGTGCACAAATTTCGTGCACCAAGCCTCTAGTAATTTCATTAAAAAGGGAGATTTTTAAAAAAACAAAAAACAAAAAAGTTATAAAGAGATAATCTTGTGATAAAGAATAGTCCTTCCCAAAAAGGATGATACATAATAGAATATCTGCCAAATCAAAACAGAATAAAAGTGCATAGGTAGAAAGATAAAATATTGCCTCAATTACTTTCATTTTGCCTCAAACCAAGGAATCTATCATCATGCACTGGCCCAGTTAATGCACTGTTTTCAGAAGATCGTTATTCATTTAGCTCATAATACCCCTGAAAAAGAAGTAGTATTCTTATTCCCATTTATAAGTGGGGTAATGGACCACTGTGAATGCACAGGCACTCCATTTATTTAATATGACTTTTTCCTTAATTCTAATAACACCATGACTCACTTGCCTCCTTTCAACCAGATCCTTCTACCTTTGCAAATGCTGCACATCCACTTTTGTAATCATTAAGCCTGCAATAGGTTCTAGTCATCCTTAAACTATCTTCAATAACAAAGCCTCAGGTCTGTTGACCACAGTTCAGTCAAACTAAAGATAACATTTTGACCTCAGATGCATTTCAGCCCCCAAACCCATGAAAGCAGAATGACCCTACTGACTACAACCTTACGAAACCAACAGACTAACCCCATGGGTTATACCAGGACCATATGCCATGATCAACTACTCCTTACTCTGGCTCTGACCAATCAGTACGGCTACAAGCCTAACCCTTAACACCCTCAGGCAGTATAACTAATGATTCCCCCCCCCATATAACCAATACCCTGAAGCCATGAGAGAGCCAGGTTTTAGACTACTAGCTCACCAGTATCTAAGTGCTTGATACCATTTCCTTAAATAAACCTTTACTTTCTTTGCTGCAATTCCTGTTCTCATTTTATTGGGCTTTGATGCACACAAGCAAATGAATCCATTTAATTCAATAACACCCTTATAGAAGTTAAGCAACTTTTCCAAGGTGTCATATACCTTACAATAGCAGCTGAACTTGAACAGATTTATGACTGCACTATGACCATAACATGACAGCATCCTAGTGCGACTGTCTAGCAAGCAACTGATAGGAGGGGTCAGAGGCTGAGAAGATCAACACAAGGTAAAGATGTGGGAATCATCCATAAAGAGATAATAGCTGAAGCCCTGAGAAAGAAGGAGCATAAGGAAAAAAGAACAAGGAGGAAAGCAAGAGATGAGGACACGTTAGAGTTACCTTGTGCAGCTGAGGAAGGTACACAAAGGGAGTGCAGTCAGATAGACAAGTGAAGCATAATTGTCACTAGGGTTGAAACTTGTCATCATCTTTTGACTTTCTTCCCCAAATCTGCAACCAAACCACTGTACCAAGCGCCCCATACCTAAAGCTAAACCGCCCATCAGTCAAAGAACAACGCATATCTGTTTGTGGTTAGTTCTACCTATAATTAACTAAATACAGTAGGTTCTCGGTTTACATTGGAGATCCATACCTATATCATGATGTAATGCGATTTTCACTGTAAGTAGGAATTCACCTACATAAGCAACTACGTCACTCACATGGAGCACATACACAGCAGTAATGAAGTGAAACGGTAAAAAAAAATTTTAAAGAAAGGTAACAATTCCTGACCTTTACTTGTGGTAAATAAATAAAAAATATAAAGCACATATGTACACACGTCAAAGTGACAAAACTTTTTTTTATAAATAAATGGAGATGGCAACATAACCACAAAACGATGTAACCCAAGGACTGTCTGTACTACCATTTTATGGCCAACAAGGGTATATATAATAAAAGCAAAATATCGCCAAAACTGGTTTGGCTCGGTGTATAGAGCGTCGGCCTGCGGACTAAAGGTCCCGGGTTCGATTCCAGTCAAGGGCACGTACCTTGGTTGCGGGCACATCCCCAGTGGGGGTTGTGCAAGAGGCAGCTGATTGATGATTCTCTCTCATTGATGTTTCTAACTCTCTATCCCTCTCTCTTCCTCTCTGTAAAAAATCAATAAAATATATTTTAAAAATAAAAATAAAATAAAATAAATAAAAGCAAAATATCATTAACAAAATTGGGGAGGAGGGAAATCAGGTTTTATTACAAACACCCTTGTTTTCTGATTATTTAGAAAAGCAATTCCCATTTATTAGATAATATTAAAAATTACTATGTCATCCTAACCAGTATGACTCAGTGGATAGAGTGTCAGCCTGCGGACTGAAGGGTCCCAGGTTCGATCTGGTCAAGGGCATGTACCTTGGTTGTGCACACATCCCCAGTAGGGTATGTGCAGGAGGCAGCTGATAGATGTTTCTCTCTCATTGATGTTTCTAACTCCCTTTCTCTCTATAAAAAAATCAATAAAATATATTTTTTTAAATTGCTATGTCTACCTCAAAAACGTATTAAAGATACTCTTGTTAATTATAAAAATCTCACTTCACATTTCAAAAAACAGGACAATCATGGAAAGGTAGTCTCTCTGGGTAATGTGCTGAGAGAAATATATGACCAACCTGAGACCACATAAGGGAACACCTGTGTGCCTTCAAGCAATGAGTTAATGCACCTCTTTGGAATACCAGGTTTCTCTTTTCAGTCAAATGAAGTAATAGCCCTGGCTGGTTTGGCTCAGAGGATAGAGCGTTGCCCTGTGGCCTTAAGGGTCTCAGTTTGATTCCGATCAGAGGCACATACATGCCTAGTTTACAGGCTCAATGTCCAGTTGGGTTTTGGAGAAGGCAGCCAATCAATGATTCTCTCTCATCACTGATGTTTTTATCTCTCTCCCCCTTTCCCTTCATCTCTGAAATTAATAAAAATATATTTTAATAAATAAATAAATGAGTTAATGTCTGTTTCACAGGATTGTTGTGAAAGCTAAATAAGATGAATTAAGTATAAATGTTTATCACAACAGCTGGCTACGTTGTTTTTTGTTGTTTTTTTTTTTCAATTATTAAAAACATATCCATTCCCCCACCCCACCTTTGAAACATATATTAGAAACAGGCTGCATTTTTTAAAAATATATTTCTTTATTGATTTCAGAGAGGAAGGGAGAAGGAGAGGGAGAGAGAAACATCAATGATGAGAATCATCAATAAGCTTAGGCTGCATTTTTTAAATGATACTAATATTTAACATAATGTTATTCATTCATCTCTCTCCCACAATTGACAAAAAGACTGATTCAAGCAATGATATATCTAGCAATCAAAGATGCCCTTAAAAATGATAAGACAAGTAACAGGCAGGCTAACATATTAGTTTTCTTTCTTTTTTTCTGTCACTTTAGGCACTTGACTATGGAAAGTACAGTTAACCTTTGTTAATCAAAGCCATCTTCTCCTTAGTTTACATTTAACAACTGTCTCTTCATTCATCAATTAAAAACATTCTGAGGACCCCATAAATTTGTGAAAGATGCTAAATATGCCACTAATGAAACTAATTCCTTCAGTCATGGAGCTGGTGCATAAATTTAACAGATTCCCTTGGTACTCTTGTGCTAGAGAATCAATAATTCAGGGTATTTTTGTATCTAATGTTAAATCTGAAGGGACAACAGGCATAAAATATGAGCTCAAGAGCAAATGACTTCATTAATAAAAATGTTTTAGTTAAAATTGTGAAAGTGTAACACTGAGAAAACAGTTACTAAACCAGAATAAAAAGATTCTGAGATAAATTTAAGGATTAGCACTAAAAATCAAATTCATTTTGTCCATTATTCATAGACAAGCAGTTATAGAAAAGGAGATGAATCCAAAAATGTACAAAGTGCTTCAGGATATTTCCAATCTGGTTAAGTTCAAAGCAATAAAGCCTACACTAAATAAATACTTAAAAACTATAATGAGATGTGTAGCAAAAATAGCACAATATTTAAGTGAGACATTGGACATGTTACTAATTTTAGTTATTTATTATGTGTAAAATAGAGATTGATAATAATCTCTACCTCACAGAAGTGGTAGAAATTTCATAAGAGATATTTCACACACAACTAAGAACAATACTGGCGCGTGGAAAGTCCTCAATAAATGTTATCCATTACTGGCCATCATTATGGGAGTAATCATAAAAATATTTTATACCACAATGAAATTCATTACTTATCTTTTGGCTAAGAACTTAAAAGTTACTAAACATAGAGATGAATTACACATTTTCTTTTTCAAATAAGACTTCCCAATTTGCTGGCCTGTTCTGAGATATTTTATAAAGTTTGAGTGAGGTCTTTGAGAATATTCCATGAGTATCTCCTGCTTACTCAGTTAAAGGTTACATTGATAGTGTTGGCCACAAATACTAACAGAGAATACTTCTTCAGAACTTAGAACATACCCTCAAATCAGGAGAAAAGTTGTCTGCAGAAGTTGAAATGGAATCCGATGACACAACAGAAGCAGATTTTGTATGCACTGAATTCTCTGAATGAGAAGTGGAAGCACTGTAAAATAAAAAGCAACAGTATGTGTAAAAAATGGGACTTTCCCATTTCAGAAATTTTCATTAGAACTCCATTATTTATCAAAACTTCCTCTGCCAACTAGTTATACTTTGCCCACTCAATCTTATCTCCAAATACGGATAAACCGCACTCTGTATTCCTGCATGGGTAAGTATTCTTACCCTCCATGCTCCCTCTGGAAGACTTCCCCAATACTCATGGAAAATATTCCCGGTTGTTCTTTTTATCCAATTCACCCATTCTTTCATCCAGTGAACATTCACTGAACAATCATGTGCAAAACCATTACATACAAGGCACTATGAACTGGAGATAAATATGATAGAATCACAGTGTTCATGAAGCTCACAAGCATATGGCTGAGGCAGACAATAAATAAATGCAATGTAATAATGACTTATGACTACAGAGAGAGATGACAGAGATGAGATAGAGATAGGGATAGAAAGAGACAGAGACAGAGACAGAGACAGAGACAGAGACAGAGATAGAGATAGAGATAGAGATAGAGATAGAGATAGAGATAGAGATGGGTAGATAGGACAAATACACACCTGCCCGTTACAAGAAGAGAAAAGAAAAGGAAGTACCTAACTCTACCTAGGAAGTTCACAGAGGATTTCACAGAGATGATATTTCAATTGAGTCTTGAAAGAGGAAACTGCAAGGCTGACAAATAAGGGAATTTCAAAACTAACAAAAGGCACTGCAAAGTTACAAAATCATCATAGACCACAGGTTATTTGAGAAACCACAAATAGTTCAACAGGGCTGGACAAGCAGAACAGCAGAAGATAAAGATAGAAAGATAAGCCTGTCTTTGTAGCCTGTACCTTTCCACCAAATCAAATTCTACACTTTATTAAAAAAAAATATTTTCATTGATTTCAGAGAGGAAGGGAGAGGGAGAAAGATAGAAACACCAATGATGAGAGGGAATCATTGACTGGCTTCTTCCTGCACACTCCACAATGAGGATTGAGCCCACAACCCGGGCACATGCCCTGACTCGGAATCAAAACAGGTTCATAGGTAGACGCTCAACCACTGAGCAACACAGGCCAATACCAAATTCTATACTTCTAATATGCCTATCTTAAATGTCCACCTATCTTAAACATCCACTTCTTCTACTAAGTAATCATATGCTACAGTTACTTTTATTCTCTGATATTCCTACAAATGAGTTCTGTATTTTCCTAAATTCATACCTTTGCTCAAGCCATTCAAAATAGAATGCCCCTTTATCCCAATCTGTTTATTAAAATCCTACCTACTCTTTAAAACCCAGTAAAATGCTAGCTGGACTTTTAGCTGAAACTAAATTTTTCTATACTTTCATAGACTTCTGTCTATACTCTACAATGGCACATAACATTTTTCACATTAGACTAGAGCTCTTTGGTCACACGACCACCTCCTATGAGGAATCTTGTAATGGGCAAGGCATTTAAAAGGAAGCAAAGACTGCCGTCTGCTAATCTAATCAAGTAAAAAATAACAACTTCATCTTGTTTTCCTAGGCCCATATACTTCACTAAAATCAACCCAAACATTGCTGTTATCCTTTTCATCCTAAGCTTCTCTTCAAAAATGCCAGAGCTTCTAGACTGACTATGTGTTTCTTCCTCCATCCATTTTCCCTGTCCAAGTCTTCCTTCCACTTCTAACTCATCCTAACATTTATTTATACTGGAATCTTTATTCCATAGTGAATAAATCCCCTCACAGTCTCAACAGAATTCTCCCCTCACAGCTCTGGTCAGGTGGAGCAGTTTGTTAAAGCATCATCCAGATATGCCAAGGTTGTGGGTTCAAATCCCCAGTCAGGGCACATACAACAACCAATTAATGAATGCTTAAGTGGAACAACAAATCCATGTCTTTCTGTTCTCCTTTCTCCTTCTCTCTCTTCCTCCCTCCATCCTCCTTACTCTGAAAAAAAAAAAAAGAAGAAGAAGGAAGGAAGGAAGGAAGGAAGGAAGGAAGGAAGGAAGGAAGGAAGGAAGGAAGGAAGGAAGGAAGGAAGGAAGGAAGGAAGGGAGGGAAAAAAGAATTCTCCCCTCACCTCTTGAAGTCAACTAATAGCTTCATCCTGGAATCCACTTCCTGCAGCTATTTCTAGAGAGACTCTCTTCTCCCACATCTACCAAAGCCCAAAGGTGAAACCAGCATTCCCCCAGCTCCACTATCATACTCATATACTAGTAATAATGTTTCCATTTTGATAGGTAAAATCCTTCTTCCTCTGAGGTTAATGGCATTTGGGTATACAGCCTCTTATTGTCATCCACCTACCTTTTAATTACTCCTCCTAACTCATTAAAGACTTTTCAACTGGCTTACTTTCTTCTCCAAAGCTGCATCATCGTGGGAATTTAAATATCCCTAAGAATAAACTAGCAACAAACAACCTACCTTAAATTTCCTCAATTCCTACCCTCATTCACATTTCCACTTTAGTGCTTCAATAGTCATACCCTGGACTTTATCATTTCTCAGCCTCTATAATGTAAAAAAACAACAACAAAAAAAAAACCAATCTCTGACTACAGATGCTATCCGTTCCAAATGTCTTACTTTCTTAACTTGCCGTTCATCTAATATCCAAACTAATGGAGAGAATTCATCCTTCAACCCTTCCATTTATCATGCATTATTGCTCCTTTTTCCCATTCACTTTTCTCCTTACCCAGCCTGGAATGTAGAGTGTAACACTTCAGATTCTCTTGGCAAATCCTATCTTTTCCCACCAGCCACCACTGCCCTGCTAATCCCTACCTTCTCCTGTGCTAAAGTTTGGCTATTAATGGGGGGGGGTGGGGGGGGTGGGAAGAGGGGGAATTTACACTGGGGCCACTGAGGACTCATGGTTAGAAATAATGGCTAGGCCCAAGGCAGTGCTCAGGAAACCCATCACATCCAATCAATCGAAAGTCCTGAAGAGCCTACTTCCCTACCACCTATTGACTGCACTTCTTTTTCTATCATAATTTTTACTGCCTTAACTAGACACTTCCTTGGACTACTGCAAATCACCTGTCTCCTTTCTCCTACTTATCCAATATATCATCCCAAATCAATATTAAAGTGATCTTTTGGAAACAGATCTGATCATATCATTCGTTTGCTTAAATCTTCAGTGATTCCTCGTTGCCTACAAAATTGAGCCCAAAATCCTTAGCATAACACAAAGTCTTCCAAGATCTGGCCCTTGGTCTACATAACTGGCTATAGCTCCTATTCCTCTTAAGCCATTGGGAATGGCTTGTAGATTCCCTAAATTTCCAGCCATTTCAGAGCTCTCTGTCCTTTGCTAAGCCTGCTTTTGACCGTAATGTCCTCTATACACTTGTATGCCCTCTTTGCTGCTATCCATCTTACAGGAGTGACTAATTTCTCCATTACGTACACTGTATGTATTTCTATCATAATACGGTACCTGTCACACTGCATTGCATTTACTAATCTACAAGCTCCTCCTCTCAGTTTTGTTATTGTATGCTATTCCAATATTTTTTCTTTACTACAGATTATTTCCCCACCTTGTTCTTAATAAAAAAATGTAACGTGTCTAAAAAAATAGCTGACACACTTAGCTATCATTACTTACGTATGACAATTGATTGTTATTGCACACATATTACCCCAAGTCCAATCAGCTGCATAAATAAAATTATAATGGCAAAATTACTGTTTCACCTCTCATTAGTACTACTTTCAGCTGTAACATATTACAAGTGAGAATACAATTTCTCCCATTAACTGTAACTAAAGATTTACTGGAAGGAATAAAACATCAAGAACTACAATTAAAGAAAGACCTGGTATTTAAAAAACAAGGCATTGTGTGTCCTGGACAGTATTATGTTAGAGGTATTAAAAAACATTATTCCTACTGTAAAAGCATTTGTGTTGGCACTGTGAATACATTTAAAAATTAAAGCTGTAACTTATTACCAGGGACTAAATTTAAATTGTCTACCCTACCTCCTTCCCCTGATAAAATATGTTGAATCTCCAACCCTTAATGTGATTGTATAAATTGAAAATCAGCGCTTTTAGGAGGTAACTGGACGGGACTGAGGGGTTAATCTGATAACATCAGTTACTTTATAAGAAATTTCATTTATATTCTCTTCCTAGGAGTTCATTTATATTCTCTTCCTCTCCTTCTCTCTGCAAGCACTGAGGAAAGGCCATGTGAGGACACAATGAGAAGGCAGCCATCTGCAAGCCAGTTAAAGAGAGCCCTTACCAAGAATCAAATCACCAAACACCTTGATTTTAGACTTCCCAGCCAAGGGACTGTGAGCAACAAATTTCTATTATTTAAGCTACCCAGTCCATAGAATTTTAGCAAACCCGAGCAGACTAGTAGTCATAGAAGATGAATGTCATCAAAGAAATTTCTCTTGGCTTTTGAAGTGAAACATTTCCTATTTGAAATTGTAATTTGAAAATATTTTCTTCCTAAAAATAAAAAATATTTTCTTATGTAAAAAAAGGCTTTCAAGTTCTATAAAGGTAAAACAACAACAACAACAACAACAACAAAAAGGACAGTCCCAATGGAAGTGGAAAACTATTTTGTCATCAATAATAACCTTTATCTTTTTAACATATAAATATAAAAAGTTATTAATGAAAAAAAATATACTGAGCCCTGACTGGTTGACTCAGTGGATAGCGCATTGGCCTGGGGATTGAGGAGTCCCAGGTTCTATTCTGGTCAAGGGCATGTTTTTGATTGCAGGCACATCTGCAGTAGGGGGTGTGCAGGAGGCAGCTGATAGATGTTTCTCTCTCATTGATGTTTCTAACTCTCTATCCCTCTCCCTTCCTCTCTGTAAAAAATTAAATATATTTAAAATATATTTCGTGCACTGGGCCTCTAGTACTATCTATATAATGAATCAGTATAAATAAAAATGAGTCAATATAAATATAAACACAACAATCACTGACTACAAATGCAG